TGCTTTTCCTTTGGTCCATGCTTTTTACAAGTGGCAATATCCATTTTTTGCAAAGTTCCCAGATTGGCCCATGATGGTCTATACTGGGACCAGCTGCAGTAGATTAAAGAATCATAAGATTCCTGGATCCCAACTCCAAGGGATTATGATTTACATGTAAAGTTTGGAGTGTGTACCAAGTATTTATTTTTAAATAGCCCCCTAGATGATACTGGCATGTCGATTGATGGGGAACCATTGCCCTAAGGGGCCTGGTAGTGGTCTGGTGGGGTCCCCTAGGCTTCAAGGCATAGATGATTAAATGCCAGTTTCCAGAATGTAACAATTTAGCCATCCAGATAGCAGTCATTCCAGGATGCCACAGTCAAATCTAATAGCTTCTTCCTTCCCCTCCTCCCCGCGGCCCTCTGTGGAGCTCACTTCTGCTCTCATTACCTGTCCTGCCCATTCACATAATGGAGACTCCCTTGCCAGCTCCCTCCACTGCTCCATTTCAGCTTGTGAGACTTCAGGGACTCAACTCCCTGAAAAAATTAAATTGAGAAACTTCCTCCCTGATAACTTAGGACCTCTTGTGGAACTCAGCTCTCTTAGGAGCCAGAAGGCAAGAATAATAAAGCGCTCTGCTCATTATCTGATTGGCAGCCCCACAAATGTTATCCGCAGCTCTCAGGTGGCCTCCAAGCTGGAAAATATAAAACCCAAGTTCCTTTAGGTCAGAGAGGGAGCATCTTGGCATCAAAATGCACATATACGCATATGAATGCACAATAGTGCACAGTAAAAGAGGTCTCTCTTCTAGACGCTGAAGGTCCCTGAGCTGAAGAAGTTTAAAGAACGACAGAGAGGAGGAAAGCGCTGTATCCCAGAGGCTCAGTCGTCGATTTAGCACTGAGTGGAAGAGGAGACAGGGCCCACTGGCAGGCCAAGGGGAGAGCGCCCTGGGCGTCTCAGCCCGGGAGACGGAGCACCCTTCTGGGAAAGAGTCGCCCGAAGAAAGGAGCTGGGTGCATGTGTATTATGTGTGCACGTGCTTAGTAACTCAGTCCTGTCCAACTGTTTGCGACCCCACAGACTACAGTCCGCCAGGCTCCTCTGTCCAGGCATTCTCCAGGCAAGAATACTGGAGTGGGTAGCTGTTCCCTTCTCCAGGGGATCTTCCTGACCCAGGGATTGAACCCTGGTCTCCTGAATCACAGGTGGAGTCTATACCATCTGAGCATGAATATGTGAGTAACGTAGCCATTCAAGGGGAGGAACAATTTTGACTGGGGGGTGAAGTCGTTACAGTGAACCAGATAAGCGTGCCCAGGGTACCTGCCACTTCCTAAACCCTTTTTAAGGGGTTCCTTCTACATATGTCATTTTCTTGGCAGCACAAGCCCACACTCCTGGCCCAGCAAATGGCCTGCAAGGCAAAACTGACCCAGAGGTGGTCACCAGAGGCTAAGGCACTGTATGAGCCGGCCTGGAAGAAAAGCACTTGATCAGGGGCAATTAAGTCAACCCGATTCCTCAGCAAATGCTCACTGAGTGCCAGCGGTGTGTAGATGCCTTATTTTAAATTTATTTAACAAATGCTTCTACTGAACATAGTCTGTGCTAGATACTAATACAAGTACTTTACAAGTATTAATCTGTTTAATTCTTAAAACAACCCAATAAATGCATTGCTATTTTTGTCCACATTTTGAAGGTCAGTAAAAAGCAAGGCACAGAATGCCTAAGTAACTTGCCCCAAGGCTACACACTTATGAAGTGGTAGAGCCGCTTTTTTAAGTACTAGAGATAAAAAAGAAAAACCAAAATCCATGTCCTCATAAAACTTCTTTTCTAGTGGTGATTTTGGTCTGGACCTTTGCAGAGAGTCAGTGGCATCGGGAGCAGAAGCTAATAAACCCACAGGCCAACAGCTGAGGCTGAACAGCAGCAGAGGGCTTGGAAGGAAGGGTCGGGGACTGCTTGCCGGTGGCGGGAAAAGTTAAAGGCCGGTGAACTGAGGGTGGGCACCACCCAATAAACAGCGCCCAAGAAGAACACTTCTGTTGCCAGTCCCCTTCATTTCCGCGAGGCCGGATTCTTCCTGGAGCCCCGTGAGGCTCAGCCACACGACTGAGTTTTGCATCTTCTTATCCCTGCAATAAGACCGCCGGTGCTGAAGTAGTATGAATGAATTTTTGTTCTTCACATCCTTAAGAGTCTTCAAGAGCCAGCCTTGTGGCACCCTAACCCCTCATGAGAGCAAGGACTGCTATAAACAAACCTCAAAAAGGCAGTGTATACAAAAACAGTCTCCTTGGGAGGTTAAGAGCATGAAGTTGCAGTGCTCTGGGGACCAGAGAGCCACAGAAGGAGGGACAAAGGGCAGGATGACAGTCCTCCTGCTTTAGAGAAGTGCAGGGCTGAAGCAGGGTGTCGGTGGGAGGCACCCTCAGCTAAGAATGGCAGTGACTGTCCTGGCCCTGCAATCCCCAACTTCAGCCAGCGCTGGGGCCAGCAGCACCTCACTACCAACAGTGGCAGCATCCACACCACTTTCTGAGTATGATGTGAGACAGCTTCGGCATCATCAGTAGCTACAGAAACCTGCAGGCAGTGACACCTGAGGAACTGACATTCCTAAGATTATACTGGAGAAGAAACAGAACAGAATAACAGTCACCATGGGAAACCAAGAAGACTTGTTTACAAGTGCATCTGAGATATCCCTTGGGACTCAGAAATAATTGCATAGGAGACTGGAACACTGCAATAGCATCTTGTAGTTAAAAGTAATACCAGTTTTAATTTTTTCATTGAGAATCCATTTAAATCTTCAAGCTGATGAGACCATGGCAAAATGAGTAATTTTTTTTTTTTTTTTTTTAATTTTCCTTGGTCTCCTCTCAGTCAGAGCTGTTCTATACAGGGAAGGCTGTGTTTACTAAGGCTGTGCCAAATCTCACTTGTCTTTATTCTCACCTCCGCTGTTACTCAGGAAGCCACATTCTAGCACTGAGTCAACAGTGATGCTGGAAGAGAAAGAATATAATCAATCTGATTTTGGTGTTGACCATTGGGTGATGTCCATGTGTAGTCTTCTCTTGTGTTGTTGGAAGAGGGTGTTATTAGTGTCTTATTCAGTGAGGAGAGAAAGCCAGGAGGCAGAGGAGGCCTATAGAGTCCATCTTGAGGAAAATCAAGTCAAACACTTTTCTCATCCTATTCATTTTTTAACCTATTTAAATGGGAACCTAATTGCATAAAACAACTAATTTTGTTTATTATGTTTCAGTTAAATTCATCTGAAACTCAGGGTAATGGCATTGTTGTTGAACGGCCATATTAAAGATGAAACATAATCTCTCTTGACTCCATTTCCTTCGACAACATAAAGTTCAGCTGCTAACGAGCTTGCAATAAAAGGTCTCTTTATAAATGGCAACAAAGGGTGTGAATTTATGAACAGCAGTTTTTATTATCATCAACAGCCATTTCTTTTGTTACCAAAATATGCAGAAATGATTATGGGGACCTTTTATTCATTGTGGCTTAGATTTGGGGAGAGGGGGAAGCTGGAGATAAATAGTTTCATAATTATATCACATTAAACTCACACATGGAGAGTCCATAGGGGGTGGCCCCAAAGCCTTGATGCAGGGCATTCTATGGATTAAGCAGACATTTCAATTTTCAGCTTCGTAGGCTTCAGTCTCTGCCCTAGAGGCCAAATCTCTGTTTCAGGGTAAACAAGAAATGCTTCTAACTACATGGCCTGTTTATGCCATTTTGTGGCCTCAAGGAAGAATCAGTTTATTCTCTTTTGAATCACGGAAGCAAGGAAGAGTCTGTCTAGGTAGCATGAGCTGGCCTTGGCAAACCAGCTTTCCCACCTTCTGGTGACACCTGGCCCTTTCCATGAATAGCCAGAATGGCATGATGCCACCGTTTCCTTCCTCAGGGCCCTGCTGTGCTCACAGTTAGCCACAGTTGGCAGAGTGTCTTTCCCTGGTAAGCAGTACTGGTGATGTTAATTCAGTGCCCAAGCTAAGACAAATGTCATCAGTCCCTAGCCCAGTGAAAGCACATGTCAGAGTGGCATTCAATCAGGCTCAGTGAGGGCCTGTGACATGCAGAGCATCATAGGGAATATGGAAATGAGTAAAGGCCCTGTACGTAGTGAGTACTACCCAGCAAGCAGTGGATATAAATAAGTGGGTCACTCGGATGGTAAAGAATCTGCGTGCAATGCAGGAGACACGGGTTCGATCCCTGAGTCAGGAGGATCCTGGAGAAGGGAATGGCAACCCACTCCAGTATTCTTGCCTGAAGAATCCCATGGACAGAGAAGCCTGCCAGGCTACAGTCCATGGGGTCACGAAGAGTTGAACACAACTGAGCAACTTAACACACTCCCTTAACCAAAATCCTTGGGGCTAGATTTACTGTGCGTAAGTGCAGAATTTTCAGGATTTTTAGAGAGGCAATTTCATGCCAATTATTATATACTGCCTAACACCCAACACATTTTCTACTGTGATATGTTTGAATATTCACACCAAGTGAGTTAAAGAATATAAACAGCCTCAAATTAGTTCAGGTTAGATCACATTTGCTTCTAAATAATTTATGAGTTATAAGAAATCTTCTGGGAACAAAAGAACACTTGCCCAGGGGAGGAGGGAAGGGGGAGAAGGTCAGTTTGTCCATGGTACTCCTGGAAGGGAACAGGTGCAGTGAATGAGAGGTGACCTCCCCTGGAACTCCTTGGAACTCTCACCAGGAGGTGAGAGAGGCCCATCGCTGAGTGTGGTGTCAGGGGTTTATCTGTCCCCAAAGACCTGCAGAAGGGCTGTGCCCTAGCATTCCTGGGGAGTGCTGAAGCTGAGGGCCACACTCCCCCAGCCCCCAGTCTCCTGGCCCTGATCTTCAAGGGAAGTTCTGCTAGGGAGCCAGGGTGTGCCTTCCTACTTTGTCCTCTGCCTTCCACTGAAAGAGTTCACAGCACCACAGTCACAAACCTGGTGAATCGACAGGAGGCACATCTCCATTTGGCCAAGTATATCAAGTATAATAAATAATATGTTCAGAAGAATTCTTCATACTCAGTATTTTCTCATGAAAATTTTCCTTATGCTTCTCGGTCTCCAGGAGCTGCAGCAGAAGCAAATGGAACATTTTTTTAAACTGCTATAATATATGAAGGCAAAATAACACTAGTCAATCAAATCTAGGTATTTAATTCTAGAATTAGATAGTAGTAATGGCTGCACAGTGTTGTGAATATACTATAAACCACTGGATTGTACATTTTAAAAGGGTGAATTTTATGCCATATGGATTATCAATTTAAAAAAAACCAAAAAGTTAATAGGGGGAAATGACTTTCACCTCCATCCTACTCTGAGGACCACACCCTAAATCTTATCAACACAATCTCAACTACAGAAAACTTACACGAATATCACTAATATCTCTGACCACTGAATGCCTTCTCTCACCCTCCCTCCTGCTATATCTGTTTAGCTATTGTTTTAGTTCCCTGCTTAGTGGTTTAAACAACAAAGTTTCAGCAGGGCTGATCCCTTGAAGAGGTTTAGTTGTTCTTTAGTTGCTACTCTTTGCAACCCCATGAACTGCAGCAGGCTTCCCTGCCCTTCATTATCTTCCACAGTTTGTTAAAAATGCCATCCATTCATCTCATCCTCTGTCACGCCCTTCTCTTGCCCTCAATCTTTCCCATCAGGTCTTTTCCAAAGAATGGCTCTTCCCATCAGGTGACCAAAGTATTGGAGTGTCAGCATCAGTCCTTCAAATGAATATTCAGGGTTGATTTCCTTTAGGACTGACTGCTTTGATCTCCTTGCTGTCCAAGGGAGTCTCAAGAGTCTTTTCCATCCCCATACTTGGAAAGCATTTGGCACTTAGACTTCTTTATGGTCCAATTCTCAAATCTATACGTGACTACTGAAAAAACTTTAGCTTTGACTATGTAGACCTTTGTCCATCAAATGATGTCGCTGGTTTTTAATATGCTGTCTAGATTTGTCATAGCTTTTCTTCCAAGGAGAAATTTCATGGCTGTAGTCACCATCTGCAGTGATTTTGGGGCCCAAGAAAATAAAATCTGCCACTGTCTCCATTTTTTTCCCCTTCTATTTGCTATGAAGTGATTGGAACAGATGCCATGATCTTAGTTTTTTGAATGCTGAGTTCTAAGCCAGTTTTTTCACCCTCCTTTTGCACCTTCATCAAGAGGTTCTCTAGTTCCTCTTTGCTTTTTGCCATTATGGTGCTATCATCTGCATATCTGAGGTTGTTATTTCTTCCAGAAATCTTGATTCCAGCTTGTGATTCATCCAGCCTGGCGTTTCACATGATGTACTCTGCACAGAAGTTAAAGAAGCAGGGCTACAATATACATTCTTGTCATAGACCTTTCCTAAGTTTGAACCAGTCCATTGTTCCACTTCCAGTTCTGTTACTTCTTGACTGGCATACAGGTTTCTCAGGAGGCAGGTAAGGTGCTGGTATTCCCATTTCTTTTAGAATTTTCCTGTTTGTTGTGATTCATAGTCAAATGCTTTAGCAGAGTTTCAGAGGAGAATATTTCCTTGCCTTTTCCACCTTCCAGAAGCCATCTGCAATCCTTGCCTTCTGAGTCTGTGATGTTGTCTGTCACCCATTGTGTGGGCCCACAAAATACACTATTCTTGGCACTGCCATCAGTCCCGCCTCAGCCATGGGAATGCAAGCAATTGGCCCAGATGTCCCTCAGAAAGCCATCAGCACAGATCCATAGGCACAGATCTGTGTATCAGGTACCAATAGTCACATAGTCACATAGTCAATCAACTGGACACATCACGGGAACTAAACATATTCACCAGAGGCCCCAGCCTGGCCTCCCTGGGCACATGGCCCCAGTGTCCACAGCTGCTAACTCCAGAGCCACCTCACCCACAGGAACATTCATCTTCTTGGATGCCCCACAGCCACTGAACTTACAAAGGCACCAACAGCATAAATCGACTAACATGCAAAGTCATGAGACAGGGCTCAGATTCAGCCCTGCCTCCAAGTTTGGGGCAACTGCGTGCTTGTTCCCAGTAGTTGCAGAGGTGGAGCCCTGCCCATGGTGAGCTTGCTGGGGAGGCGGCTGTGGTGGGGCCCTGGCCCTCTCTCCACATGTGTGTAGTAACAGTGGGGCTGCTGTGGCGGACCTGGGCTCCATTTTGCACACTTCTCCCAGTTTTGGTCTGGGCCACACCCTAGTCCCTTCCGGCTGTCTCTGTGCAGCCAGCCCCAGCTTTCTCCCCACATTTGACCACTGAAGCTGTTCGGCACGCAGCCCCCACACAAACCAGTAGATGCGCTCTTGCTGATAGATGACTCCTAGGTAGCAATACTCAGTGGTTCCTCTCTCAGCGGAAGTGCTCCCAATCCATCTACCTCACCCTGCAGCTCAGAAACAGATCGGGGGCTTCTACTCCAACAACTGGGAGCAGACCGTGCCACAACAGGGCTGTGATGCCAAAGAGGAGGCCCTGCTCAACATCCAGGGCAGGCTCTACTCACTACTGCACCTATCACATACCCAATCTAGGGAATAATGATCAGCACACGCTGAGGACAGTCGAGGCAGTGAGTGCAGGGTAGAGCACGGAGGTGGTCAGAACCAGGTATGGTGGTATCTCTCCATTCTGCCTCCTGCAAGCTATTTGCTATACTCTCCTCCGAAGCTCCCTGATGGTCCCAGCTCATCTCCCCACAGATGAAGGGGGCTCCTTCATCTGTGAAGGCAAGGGAAGTGAATTAAAAGTTGCTTAGTCATGTCTGACTCTTTGCGACCCTATAGGCTGTAGCATGCCAGGCTCCTCTGCCCATGGACTTCTCCAATCCAGAATCCTGGAGTGGGTAGCTGTTCCCTTCTTCAGGCAATCTTCTCAACCCAGGGATCGAACCCAGTTCTCCCACATTGCAGGCGGATTCTGTACTGTCTTGAGCCACCAGCGAAGCCCAAGAATGCTGGAGTGGGTAGACTATCCCATCTCCAACAGATCTTTCCAACCCAGGAATTATACCGTGGTCTCCTGCATTGCAGGCAGATTCTTTACCAGCTGAGCTACCAGGGAACCTCTTCTCATTCACAGCTCCCTCCCAGGGGCACAGATCCCATTCTAGTTTTTTTTTGTTGTTGTTGTTGTTGTTTTTACTTTTATCCTACCCAGTTACATTGTGGTCTTTTTGTGTTTTGGTTGTATGAAATCTTCTGCCAAAGTTGCATGGTTATTCTGTGAGAATTGTTCCATGTGTAAATGTAATTCTGATCTGTTTGTTGAAAGAGATGAGCTCCACATCCATCCATTCTGCCATCTTGATCTCCTCTCACACATTTGAATATTAATAGGTTTGTCATCTGAAACCATGTGAAATGCTCTCATGAACAACACCAGTGTCCTCCTAATGAACAACTATATGATCTGGGACTTAAAACATTTTCTCTCTATTGATCCCTCCACCTTTTTGGAATACTGTCTTCTGTTGAAGTCCGTGACATTACAACATCCTGGTTTCCCATTTCTTGGCCCTTTTCAGTGCTCATTCACAACTCAACTGTGTGTAGCTCTTTCCCAGGGTTTTTTCTTTTCACATCTTGTTCTTCTCTCATGCAATATGTTCTCTCCCTGAGTTACTTGACAACCATTCCACTTCTTGTTGTTCAGTCACTCAGTCATGTCTGACTCTTTACACGCCATGGACTGCAGCACGCCAGCCTTCCCTGTCCTTCACTATCTCCTGGAGCTTGCTTAACTCATTTCCACTGAGTCAGTGATGCCATCCAATCATCTCGTCCTCCATCATCCCCTTCTCCTCCTATCTTCAATTTTTCATAGCATCAGGGTATTTTCAAATCAATCAGTTCTTCAAATCAGGTGGCCAAAGTATCAGAGCTTCTGCTTCAGCATCAGTCCTTCCAATAAATATTCATAATTGATTTCCCTTAGGATTGACTGGTTGTATCGCCTTGCAGTCCAAGGTACTCTCAAGAGTCTTCTCCAATGCCACAGTTCAAAAGCATCAATTCTTCAGTGCTCAGCTTTCTTTATGGTCCAACTATCACAACCGTATATGACTACTGGAAAAACCAGAGCTTTGATTAGACAGACCTTTGTCAGCAAAGTAAAGTCTCTGCTTTTTAATACACTGTCTAGGTTTGTCATAGCTTTCTCCCAAGGAGCAAGAATCTTTTTATTTCATGGCTACAGTACCATCTGTAGTGATTTTTGGAGCCGAAGAAAATAAAGTCTCTGTTTCCATTGTTTCCCCATCAATTTGCCATGAAGTGATAGGACTGGATGCCATGACCTCAGTTTTTTTAAATTTTGAGAATAAGCTAGCTTTTTCACTCACCTCTTTCACCTTCATCAAGAGGTTCTATGGTTCCTCTTTGCATTCTGCCATTAGGGTGGAGTCATCTGCATATCAGAGGTTATTGATATTTCTCCCAGAAATCTTGATTCCAGCTTGTGCTTCATCCAGCCCAGCATTTCACATGATGCACTCTACATATAAGTTAAATAAGCAGGGTGACAATATACAGCCTTGATGTACTCCTTTCCCAATTTGGAACCAGTCTGTTGTTCCATGTCCAGTTGTACCTGTTGCTTCTTGACCTGCATATAGGTTTCTTAGGAGGCAGGTAAGGTGGTCTGGTATTCCTATCTCTATAAAAATTTTCCATAGTTTATTGTGACCTACACAGTCAAAGGCTTTAGCATTGTCAATAAAGCAGAAGTAGATGTTCTTCTAGAATTCTCTTTTTTTTTTCTGTGATCTAATGCATGTTGACAATTTGATATCTGGTTCCTCTGCCTTTTCTAAATCCAGCTTGAACGTCTGGTAGTTCTCAATTCACGTACTGTTGAAGCCTACCTTGGAGAATTTTGAGCATTACTTTGCTAGCATGTGAGATGAGTGCATTTGTACAGTAATTTGAACATTCTTTGGCATTGGCCTTC